TTTCTTCTTCTTCCACCTGGAGGGTGAAGTCTAGCTGCTCTGGTCTGGGAACTAACCTGGGTAAGCACCTTGCGGGGTTTGGGTGGGGACCCCTTAATTTCCCTCAGTGAGAATAAGCACACAAACATCTGCCAGGTGAGCAGGTGGGACCCCTGCTTCTTTTCAACCGCTTTCTCCCCAGCCTTCCTTGTCTTAGCTCCCTCTGCAGTCATCTGCTCTCAGAGGCATAAATCTGGAAACTTTAAAACCTTGGAAGCTCCTCTGAAGAGTTTGTTATGTGACACGGCTGGGCCGGGTTTGCCCAGTGCTAGCTTGTGATTTTGTTTTCTTGGTTCTGTTAAACATATTACTGACCTATTTTTACATCACACACACACACACACACACACACACACACACACACAGCTTCCTAAATGTGGTTATGTTTCCCTATCCTTTCTTTTTAGTCTTTCTAGAATTATGGGTTTTTTAAGCATAACGTCTATTTTTCAGAGGGAGGAAAGGAAAATGCACAAACCCGATTCACCATTTTAATGTGAAAATTCAGACACTAAGCTTCTTTTGTAAGGTTGTGTTCTGCCGCGAAGCACTCTTTTGAAATTCTTTTGAAGCACTCTTTAGCAAAATTAATCCTGTCCTTCTAAGATCTTTAATGTAATATAAAACACATCTGATCCTATTTTTGTTTATATATGCCTCTTGCCCAGCAAAATAAAAATGCCAAAATATAAGGAAAAGATTTTATTCCAATCCTAAACAACAGCATCCATCATGACACACAGTAAAAAAATAAATAAATTTACTATCTAATGTATGAATATAAGATGAGTAATAAACCTTTGGGAAAACTTGAACACTTTCATATTCATTTTCTACTGGCCAAACCTACTAATAATTTTTTGGAGGGGATTATGGAAGATTGAACCTAGTCTGCCTTGCATGCTAAGCATATCTTCTCTGGCTGTATGCTTATCAATTTTCAATAGCTATCTCCTCAGACTGAAATGGAAAGCCTGTTAGTACTTTCAATGAGGAAAACTGATTATTAAACTTCAAAAGCAGAAGTTTGGGGTCGACTGCCCTCTGCTGGCACTTTAAAACATGAACTTTCGGAATGGCATTACCTGAGATCTGGTAGTGTTAAAGTTCAATACAATACAGGTCTTTCTTTTTTTCTTTCTTTTCCTTTTTTAAAGGTTTTTATTCATCCTTTGTGGATTTCACATCATGCACCCCAAATCTCTTCATCTCCCCATCTATTCATACCTACCTTTTGTCCTTGCAACCTCCCCAGAAAAGAAAGTAAATTAATTTTAAAAAGTCTTGTCCTGGAAGCTGTAGCGTATCTGTGTGTCACAGAATCTGTGTCCATGGTCTTTACTTGCAAATGTTCATTGCGTTGAATCATTGGTCTGGTTTGAGGTCTCTGGCTTCTGCTACACTGTCAATATTGAATCGTCACTGAGATTCCTCTTAGATATCCTGTGGTTGCCCCATGTGGTGAAGACCCTTCAGCTTTGGATCTGCAGGACTGACCCTTTCACACACTCCAGCAGATCACAGATGAGGTAGATGTTGGGGGTAGGCCAACTCAAAGCCCTGGATGTGGGCCTGAGGGGTAGCTGAGTTGTTCAGCCTAGCAGATCTTCTAGATCCCACCACCAGGGTGCGTTCTCCAGCACTACCCCAGCTAGCTTACCCAACACTGCAGCCAGCAAGGGGCCGGGCCAGCTCTCCAGATGGCCTGTCCTTGGGGCCAGATCACCTGTCCCTACACCACCAGGGCCAGCTCTACTGTGCTGTCCAGGAGAGATGTGGGTCCTGCTCTCCCGAGTGCTGCAGCCAGTAAGAGGCAATGATGGCTCTCCCATTTCATAATCTCAGGGCCAGCTCTCCCCTACCTGCCACAGGTGGGTCAGGAGCAAGGCAGGGACATGGACACACACACACACACACACACCCTATTAACAGACTATATAGACAGTTCTCTCCCCCTCTTCCTCTCTCCTCCGCCTCCCCCGCTCTGAGACAAGCTCTTATTATGACACCCTGGCTGGCTTAGAACTCACTATGTAGAGTAGACTAGGCCCTGAACTCACAGGGATCTGCCTGTCTCTGCCCCCTCCATGCTGAGATCTAAAGATGTGAGCCACTTTAATTTTCTAAGTGCACATTCATATAATTAACAATAGGAGGAAACCTATAATTTCCCAAATAACTTGATGTTTCTTATAAATGGTTTATGTTGGAAGACGTTTGAGGTATAATGTATAATATATATTATGTATCTGTAGTCAGATGTGGTACTAGATGGTTCTAGCTATGGTGGTGTGAAAACGAGGCAGTAAGGAAGCAAAGAGATGAATTATGGTGTTCTACCTGCTTTTTCCAATTTATTCAGTCAGGGACTCCGATTCATGAGATGCTGCTGGTTACTCTTCTTAGTTACACTGACTAGGTTCAGTTACACACACACACACACACACACACACACACAAATTGATTAGAGTGGTTTACAGATATGGTCCAAATAGGACGACGATGGCTGTCTCCCGATGTCTACTAGGCTGGAAGTCAGATGGTCTTCAGTCTTGTCGGAATCTGGTCTGGGAAAGCAGTGTCTCAGCAGTGGGACAGATAGACAGGACAGATAAGACAGGCAAGCAGGCAAAAGGCAAAATCTTCCACTTTCCATGGCCTTTCATGTAGGCTGCCACCAGGGGGCATGACTTGGATTTTGAGGGTGTCTTCCCACCTTCAACGATCCAATAAAGAAACCCCCCCATGGAAGAAAATGTACCCAGCTGCTTGGGATTTAGTTGATTCCAGATGTGGTCAAGTTGACAACCAAAATTAGCCACTTGGTTTCCTTCTTTCTCTCTGGCTAGTCCTTCTCCACCTCCTTGGTCTATTCCTCCTCTCCCGTCTAATCAGTGAATGCAAGCGACCTTTCGGCCTTTCGGCGCTCGATCACAAGCCCTCTTTACTCTGGTAATTACATCCCAGTACAGACTTCATCCATTCTCTCTCCTTAATTAACCACCTACGTGCCAATGACTGACTCGAACGTGTTTGTTTCTTAATCCAAGAAAGGCAATCACGTCACTCCAGATCAGCTAGGGGAAACCTCAGACCCAGTGCATCCTGACAAAACTACCTTTAAAAAGGGACGGTTTATTTGTTCTTATATGATATACTGGATATCTAATATCTAATTCCATATTTGATATATTAGAAAGTTTAATGATACAAATGTAAATTATTTGGTAACTATAATCTTTTTCTAATGTTTATCTTCTCAGAACCCAGAGCACCAATAGGAAAGATGAAAGACTTGTTGTCATTGAGGTCGTTCACAGGACTCTTACAGACGGCTAGTGTTCAGTTCCCTGCACCCACATGGCAACTGACAACCATCTGTATCCAGTCTCAGGGAGTCTCACTCCTTTTGGCTTCTGTTGGTGCTTCACATACATGAAGTGTGCATAGATGCACATGTAGTCAAAAATACTCATACACATGGGATAAAATAAAATATTTTAAAAATAAGCAAGCAGAATTTGGGATTTATTTTTTTTGTTGTTGTTGTTGGCTGCTTTTTCCGGAGACCTCGGTTTAATCTCCAGGGTATAAGAAATATCAAAAGAGTTATGTCTTAGTTAGAGTTTTACTGCTGTGAACAAACACCATGACCAAGGCAACTCTTATAAGGACAACGTTTAATTGGGGCTGGCTTACAGGTTCAGAGGTTCAGTCCAGTATCATCAAGGTGGGACCATGGCAGTGCCCAGGCAGGCATGGTGCAGGAGGAACTGAAAGTTCAACACCTTTTTCCAAAGGCAAACATTAGACTGACTTCCAGGCAGCCAAAATGAATCAGGTCCTTAAAGCTCACGCCCACAATGACAGACTTCCTCCAACAAGGCCACACCTCCTAATAGTGCCACTCCCTGGGCCAAGCATATTTAAACTACAACAAGTTTTTTCTATGAATACTATAAAACTTACACAAGTTAGGACAAAGAATTAAAACCTTTTATTTTCCTCTACCTTGTAAGACTTTTGGTGCAAATGTTTCAATCCTCCAGATCCAGAAAAAACACTGTTTACACAAAGAACTGCTCCTTTATTCCAGGAATTTGATGGCCTGGCCTAGTGACCCCATTCCCCATCCTCCATTCCTGTGCTCCAATTCTTTTCAGACTAGCCTATCGAATCAGGATGTGAAACGGGACCTCAATCAAAGAGGAGGAAGAGACACAACCACTAACAAAGTTAGACTAACTTCCTTTTATGTATTCACTCACTCTTCCAAGTATATCGGCTTGATCTAGAGTAAAGTCTGCCTTGCCCAGACACTTCAGTTGCAATGGTGGTTTCTTCCTTTATCTCTCAAAAGCATCCACATGGCAACTCCCAACTGGCTCTAACTCCAATTCCAAGACAATCTCTTCTGCCTCACTGGAGTACTGCACACAGGCAATGCAGACAGGCTCGCAGGTAAAACACCCATAAACACAAGGTGGGGGTATGGTGGGGTGGGGATGAATAAAACTTTCCCTAACTGAAATGATTTTTAAAACGTTACCAAAAGCCAAACAGCAGCGGAAAGGGATGCAATCCTGTAGATTAAAGCGTGCGGAGGGAAAAACCTGCGGTGTCTAGACACTAGGAACGCATCTGCAGAAGGACACAGATCACACTGGCCGTTGTCAAAGCAGCTTCTGCTATAGGAAGAAAATAGATTTCTGAATTCCTGGGGGGAAAAGACCTTAGAACCTGCAGCAAACACTAATTAGGGCAGCTTCACACGCGCATCCTAGGCAACAGGCGCCGCACGGTTAATACTACCATCTCAGAACCTGCGGGCTACCCACCCCCACTTCCCCAAAACGCTTGTCTCCCGGGCGCTCTCCCGGAGCCCTCCTCCGCGCGCGCGCGCGCGCGCGATCCCGCCCACTGCGCCTGCGCGGCGTGACAACGCCACACGCTCCCGGAAGTAGGAGGTGTCCGGCGGAGTTTGTGTGGCGGCCGCCGCGGGAACGTGAGCGCGGTAGTTTCTCAAGGGAGGAAGGCGGCTTCGCGGGGCTCGGTGGAGTGACAGCGAGCGTCAGCGGCCATCTCCCGGCGCGAGAGGCGGCATGGGGGACGAGCGAGGCCGGGAGCGTGGCGGTGACGCGGTGCAGCTGAAGACGCCGCGGCCGGAGTGTGAGGAGTCCCGGCCGCTGAGCTTGGAGGTGAGGGTGCTCGCGCGGGGCAGCCTCGCTCGCTCCCCTGCTCCGTCCCCGTCGGGGCGAGCGACCTCAGCTGAGGGAGGAGGTCGGGCGGGAAGTTCCGAATGAGAATTCCGCGTAAACATTCGGCGTGCGCGGGCGCAATGCCGTTCCATCAGCCCCGTGGCGCTGATTGGCTGGGCTTCCTCCAGCGCCCACCCTCATCAGGTGCGGCTGCTAGCCATTTGGGGTGCTCCGGTTGCTAGTGTCTTCCCAGCCCCAGACGGGCCACTGCCATCTGCACCCCGAAGTGCAGTCTGTTCCCGAGAGGACCCTCCCCTCCCCGGTCTTTCCCCCGTCCCTACTGTCTCCCCCCAGAACCCTGCCACGACCGGCTTTCTAAGTGATTTGTACCCCGACTGGTACACCCTCACGACAGCGGCGTGATTATGAGACGATCGCCGGACTTCTTTATTCATCTTGATGAATTAGTGTTGGCTAGCGCCGCGGGTTGCGAACGAGATGCTAAAATCCGTCGCTTTCTCATACTAGGAGTTGAGCACTAAAATCCAGGGTATTCATTCGCAGGGTAGAGAGATGGCTTGGCCAAAAAAGGCTAAGCTCAAAAACAAAATGTCAAAAGGTGAGTGAGTATTCCAGAAAGGGTTCCTAGTGCCTTTGTCCTTTCCATTTACACCTTCGTGTGGTAGTCAGAATAGCCTTTAAATTAGTTTCTAAATGTGTGTATGTGTGTGTAAATGGATGCCACGTGTGTGCAGGTACCTCTGAAGACCAGAAGAGGTTACATATGGGTCCTGGGGAAGAGCAGAGTTTGTTTTTCGTGGCTAAGCTGACTCTCAGGCCTCTAGAGTTACCTTTAACAGTCTGAGTGTGTCTAGTTTTGTGCTGCTCACTCAGTGCCTTCTTCAGTTTGCCCCTCTGTGGCCTTTGTTCATTTCCTATACACATCTTCGCTGTCCACTCTGGCTTACTTGTGTTCTTTTATAGTGGAGTGTTTTCTAATTAAGGATCGTGTGCCCCTCTTGTCCTGAACATGCTTCTCTGGATCTTTCCAGATTTATAAGAGAAGTCGAATATACCTCATTGTCTTTAAGAGTCCTGTAACTCTGAGATAGAGTGCTTTGAAGGCCTGGATCTGTGTTCAGATCTGTGTTGATTTTTTGCAACTATTTCATTTGTTAAAACAAAGATTTTCTGTTGTTTTTGAGATTTAGCTAGTAAATTTCCACCAACTCCAATTTTGGAGGTTGATGTACACCAGTAGAAGGGAAGAAGCAGCATTTTGGCACTTTAATGTTTGTACACTTTTGTTTCAGTTTGCAGAAGCAAACGCTTTTTTTTTTCTGTAAATAGTATATAGTTTTTGGCAACAAGATTGGGGAAACAGGTTTTGTTGAGGTGGTTACTTCCTAGTTACTTTATAAAACTTTGACACTTTGAAACGGTTGTGTTCATTAAAAAAAAAAAAAAAGTTTGAAAGATGAAGATAGAGCCGCCTTCACAATAGGAAAAGAGCAGCAATATTTTGAGATAATCATATTTTTGTTCAGGAAAGTATGCAAACCCATCCTTACATTCCACACTCTAGGGCCCTTCTCTACAGTATTATTGCAAATTAGTGAAGTTCATGGTCCTCTCTCATAATGTCAAGGAATGTCTTATTTGTAGTAATAGAAACTATATGTATATTTATTGGGTACATGCAGATTACAGTATGTCAAAGCTGTATGAAAATGAGTATTTCTTTCTATGCTGTGCATCTGTCGCCACAATTCTTATCTGGCCAGTCCTGTGTGTGAGGCGTGAGAGATGGATCTAGAGATGAGTAGGTGCTCGTGCTAATCTTGGGCATTAATTTAGTAAATAAATTAGTGTGTATTTGCAGATAATGGGGCATGTGGGGTTGTGAATTTCTTTCTGCTCCTTTGTTGGTTTATTTAAACTTTTTTTTTTGAAAACTTGTAGTGTTCTTGAAATTCTGGAGGTAACAGTTTTCATAAAATTAAGGCTGGAGTTGGACCTTGGCATCAGAAGTAAATCTTTATAGAAATGACCACTTATATATCCAGAGTTGATGTGTTAGTGTGGTAAATTTTCAAAGCTATAGATTGTAGATAAGAATTCTTCAAGTGTATCAGAATGGATTTATTCAAAGAGAATTTGTATAAGTTAACTAAGACATTGGTTTCTGGTTAGACTGTCAATGTTGACAGTTTTGTACCTTGAATAATGATGAAGCTTAAAATTCATTGTAACTTTAAATGTAAATTATCCTGATAATGTCCAAGGAGAAATTTAAATATGCCTGAAAGCTAGTTATTTGGTCAAAGTGCAGTGTAATCTTAACATTTATCTAAGCATACACTAATTTACAGAGTAAGGACTTTGCTTTTGTAACATGTATTTTTGACAAGCTTATTCTCACTCATGAATAATTCATGCAGTGGTATTATTGACCCCCTTCTCAAAGAGGATAGCAGTGAGAATTCTGAGTTCTCTGGCACAGCACCTAGCTTTGCTGCAGTTGAAAACTAAAAGGGAGGTAATCCTTGATCCTTTGACATCAGTTTTAAGCTAGAGACTACAGCCTTTCTGTGGGGATTCTTCTTTAATCCATAATTAGTAATATTTACTTGGGGACAATGTAGTAAATTATAACCATTGTATGTTAATAGTAAATAAACTTTTTCAAGCTGAGTATAGTAATACAAACTTTTTTGTATGTATGAGTGCTATCTGCATGTACACCTGCATGCCAGAAGGGGGCATCAGACAGATGTTTGTGAAACATGTGATTGCTGGGAATTGAACTCAGGATCACAGGATGAACAGACACTGTTCTTAATCACTGAGCCATCTCTCCAGCCTAAACATTTTTGATAGTTTTGACAGTAAACATTTTGACAGTTCTGAAAGTATCACTTATATTTGTAGCATTGCATATAGGCATTTAATTAACTTTAAAAGTTCCTTGAAAATTATTGTGTTTGTGGTTTAGGTCTGCCTATGAGGAAAGTAGAATGGAGTCATGTGACAGAAAAGGAACACTGAAGATTTGAATAAATGACTTAAACTGTGAACTTTAAAACAATGCATTTGTTTGTTTTAAGTGCTAGGAAGTTTTAGTTCGGGACTGACATCTGCTTTCTTTTCATTTGGGGCAGTTCTGTTAACTTTGTGAAATAAAACTAGGTTAAAATGTTCTTGGGAAGTCACTGATTGATGCCTGCATGATGATGTAAAAGTCATTTAAACAGCCTGTTCTGAGTTTGGGATATTGTTTGTGAAAGGGCTTGCTTATAGTCTGGTGATCATAAGTAAAATCACTGTATATTAGTAGTTAGCCTGCTGTATACACAGTCTCATACTTAGGATAAACACTCCCTAAATACTGTTTACCATTACCAAATACCATCTGGAACAATTATATGTATGTAGTGAGGAGAGTGCAGATCAGAGGCTAATAATTGTCCAAGGCCATGCTGCTAGTAAATGGCCAGCTGAGGTCCCACCCAGACCGACGTGGCTCTGACGCTAATATCTGTCCTCTTTTTACTCAGCTTCATTGCCTCTGAGGAATCTCATGACTCAGAATAGAAGGAGGCCAGTTATATTGGAAACATCTTTTCATCTTCCTGCCCTCCTCCACTGGCGCCAAGGGGAGCCTTTCACTGTACAGGTAGCATGAGGAGTTTGCATCTTTAAAACTCCATTTGCATTGATTATAACTCACCTCTCTCCCTTACGTCACAGAAAAAGCAACGATGCAGACTTGATGGCAAAGAGACAGATGGATCTAAGTTCATGACCTCCAATGGCAGTGACTTCAGTGACCCCATTTACAAAGAGATCGCAATGACAAATGGTTGTATCAACAGGATGAGTAAGGAGGAACTCAGAGCTAAACTTTCAGAATTTAAGCTTGAAACAAGGTAATTAAAACTCACTTCTAACCTGTTACTTGAAGCAGTTAATACAGTCTAGTTCTTAAAAGCCAGAATCACTTTCCAGTTACAGAAGTAGTACCTGCTCATTTTAAAAACCACTAAAAAATATTAAAAATAAAAATTTTCTTTAGCATGAGTCTTGGCATGCAACTCTATTGCATTTCTCTAGATGACAAAGGTCTTTGAGTCCTAAGTTTGTGAATATTTTAGAAATGTACTATCAGTGTATAACTTTATAGTCATGTCTGCTATAGCAAGTACGTTTCCTTCATTTTTCCCTCTGACACAAGTGTTATCTGAGCTGCCCTTGAGCACACTGGTCCTCCTCTGCCTCCTGGATGTTGTATTGTTATGAGTGTTAGAGTTCTGGCCAAGTACAACTGAGGGTACAAAATACTGTGGCCCAGGAATTCAGAAATGTGACACTTAAATTATGCCAAATAAGAAAAGAAAGGAGCATATTTCAGGCAAAAAGAAATTAAAAATAAAACAAGGCCTTATAATTTCTATTCTATTTGTATGTGTTCGGTCATATGCTCTTGTCTTTATTGTATAATCAAAATTATTGTATAATTAAAAGAATTTGAAAGTATGTCACAAATTCAGGCTACAGTACACAGTGCCGTATAATCATAGCCTAAGGTGTAGCAGCTTGCTGTAGGGAGAAGGAATGTTTGACAGTGAGACTGAAATGGTAAGTCAAGGCAATGGGAAGGAACCCTATGCTGAAGTCTGCTTTTACCTTGTGACTGAAGGAAGCCACTGAAGATGACTTACACAGGAAATTGAATTCGTGCTCAATTCTTTTTATTTTTATCAGGCATGATAGCACACACCTTTAACCCCAGCACTCAGGAGGCCTCAGAAGCAGGTGGATCTCTGAGCTAGCCTGGTCTTCATCATTCCAGGACAGCCAGAGCTACATAGTGAGACCCTGTCTCAAAAAAAGAAAAATCACTAGAATGTTTTGTTTAAAACAAGCATTGGTTGATTGTCGTTTTCATCACTAGGATTCTTGTACATCAGTGGTCGTTTAGAAAGGAAAACAGTAGACTTAAAACATGTAGGTTCTAAGTCACTAATTGGTGATGTGACCAAGAAATGCAGCAACCTACGTCTCCTCAGACTCTTACTGAGTGTCTTAGTGTTTCTCAAAGCATGCTCTAGGGTGCTCTATCCTCAATTACTTTTGAAGTCGCTTAAGACATTCAACTTGGGGGCCACAATGTTTTCATACCCTCAAGAATTTTTGTTTAGTTGTCTAACCCATGAATGCCAGAAGAAAGAGTACAGTGTGTTCAATTTACCTGAATTTTCTTACTCAACATTACAGTTTGTCCTATTAGCTTCAGTTTTTAGCATATATGTTTTAACATAGGGCAGTGTCATGTGCAGGTTCAAGGTTATGGCTTGAAATACTAGATGCAATGAAGCAGACATCATTGTTTTGTAAAGGAAATTTTTTTGTCATATCATTGTGTTTTCATTAGCTCTTTGCTAACATAGCTTTGAGGTTTTCTTTCTTTTCTTACATTTGTCTTAGCTAGTGTTTGTTAGTTCTGCTGCAACTGTAAGCTGGTGCCAGCAGGTAGCAGTTGTGATTCTTGTCTGTAACATTTATTTACTCTTATGTTTTTAGAGGAGTCAAGGATGTTCTAAAGAAGAGACTGAAGAACTATTACAAGAAGCAGAAGTTGATGCTGAAAGAAAGCAACGCTGTGGACAGTTACTATGACTATATTTGTATTATTGACTTTGAGGCTACTTGTGAAGAGGGGAACCCAGCTGAGTTCCTCCATGAAATTATTGAGTTTCCTGTTGTTCTGTTGAATACACACACCTTAGAAATCGTAAGTGAAGTGTTGCGTCTTCATCTCAGTTTTAGTAGCAACTATTCTGGTGTTCATTAGTGAGCTGGGAGCTCTTGTTTGCCGCCTTAGCTGGAAATGGAATTACAAAAGGAGGGTTTTGCATATTGTTGTGAGCACTGTATCAGCATGATTAATAGAAAAACCACAGTGAAGCAGTTCTAGGAACTGGTTTTCTTCTTGTTGTCCATGAGCTAAAATTGTGGTACTTTTTCTGTTACTTAGAGCCTGAGTAGATACCAATTACCCGGGAAGTGACAAATGAACTGGAAAAATACCCTGGTGCAGGGTGCTAAGAATCTAGTTCTGTGCAGGGCCCTAACATCACCATATTCTCTTAAAGCTCCTTAGCTGGTTTTGATGTATAGTGGGGGTGGAGCACCGTTTGTGGAGATAATTGCTGATGGCATAGAGGAAACATCTGAGCCTGCATTCCCAAGCCACACATATGTATGGCCCAGGTAATTGTCAGCACTGTGTTTTTATTCAGGACTTCCAGAGTGAATCCCTCAAGATAATGCCTCCTGTCATACAAACTCTGAGTGAGGACATGGCTCATCAGTCTTTTCACTAAGAACAACGGCCTGTCTGTGGTAATGCGTAGCTTTTCTGCGCAAACCCTCTTAGCTGTGTTCTCCCCTCACAGCTTCAGATAGTTCTTTCCTTGCACCTTGGGAAGCAGGTCTTTCACTGTTTGCCACCTGCATAATCCAGCCTTTTCCAGTACAGGTTAGTAGTCAAACTAAATGGGAAAATGACAGCTATGAAGGCAGATACCTTGGGTAACTCATGTCTTAGGGTTTTCATTACTGAGAAGAGACAGCATCACCAAGGCAAGTCTTATAAAGGACAACATTTAGTTGGGACTGCCTTACAGGTTCAGAGGTTCAGTCCATTACTCTCAAGGCAGGAAGTATGGCAACATCCAGGCAGACATGTTGCTGGAGGAGCTGAGAGTTCTACATCTTGTTCCAAAGGCAAAGAGAAGAAGACTGTCTCCCACATGACTAGGAGAGGTGTCAAAGCCCACCCCTTAGTGACAGACTTCCTCCAATAAGGACACACCTCCAAATAGTGCTACTCCCTAGGCCAAGCATAATCAAACCACCACAAGTCATTAGATTTTATTTCTTCTCTCAATTTAGGACACTGATTTAGCATTTTTCTTACCTGATTGAGGCGTTAGGACACATTGCTTTCAGATGTATTCTCATCACATGCTGTCCCACCACGAGAAGTCCTCATTCCATGATACTGCCAACTACCTTCTTCTTTATGGAGAAACTCCTTAAATAAGTTACATAGACTTCTGTCTTTGCTTTCTTCTTCATCTCTTAAACTTACTTCAATCCAGTTTAAGCTCTGTGCTCTCTTTAAAGTTTATAAAGGGGTGCGTGTGCATGCGTGCTCCCTTGTGTGAAGGTCAGAGGACAACTTTGGTGAGTTGGTTTTCTCCTACTTCATTAGATAGGATCTCTCATTGTTTCTGTTCCCTGCCTATTCCAGGCTAGGTAGGCTGTAAGCTTCTGTGTAATTCTTCATCTAGTCATTCTGTTTTTCTATCCTTGTTACCTGCCAGCTTCAACACAGTGGCCCAAGGAACTCCTTAAAAACCTTGCCATGACTTCTGATTTAACTTTAAATTAAAAAAAAAACATAATTCATGTATTAATCTAGGCTTCTTTTATCTCAGATTGTCTCCTGTTTTTATGTATTTGTTTATTTTTTTTAATCTATTCCAGCCATACCAACTTGATTCTGTTTTCTCAAAAATACCAACCATTTTCCAGCTGGTTATCCACATACACACCCCATCCCCTCAGAAACCCTCCAGTGCCTTAGAGTTCACCTTCAAATAAAGCCCACCTGATTATTTCCTTTAATAGGATAATGTATGAACACCCTGTAGAGCTGTTGTCTGTGAGCCTTCATTCTTGGTCCACTCTTTTTTATTTTAATGGTTAGTATTTGGTCCATGAGTAAAAAGGTCTCTGTAATATGCTTATTGAAGGCAATCCTCCACCCCAACCCCTGACTCTGTCTCCTAAGTGCTGGGATTAAAGGTGGGCCACCAAGCAGGCTCTGGGAAACTTATGTCTTTGTTACAGTGTATTTAGTATTACTTGATTGTAATGCCAAAGGGAATTTCATCTTTGAAAGGTATTTATTTAAAGTTATAAACCATGGGACTGGCAAGGTTGCTCAAGGGGTTCTTGTGCCTAGCCTGAGACCCTAGAATGGGCATGGTAGAAGAGAGATGGCTACTTCTGACTTGTCCTCCGACCTTTACATCTATGCCCTGGTAGTAATCACACATTCTCGTGTGTGTGTGTGTGTGTGTGTGCGTGTGTGTGTGTGTCTGTGTGTGTACAAGTAAATGTAAGATATTTGAAGAATTCATAAATTGTAAGTGGTGTGTGATAGCATGCTCCCTTAATCCCAGCACTGGGGCCAGAGTCAAGTAAAGCTAACCTAGTCTGCAGAGCAAGCTGTAGGCCAAGCAAGGCTACATAGTGAGATCTTTGCCTCAAACAAAACAAACTTCCTAAATAATAATTAAATTATGAACAATATATCGATACCTCACATAAGGACTTTTATAGATTCTATATAGATTCTATATATTTATAACATCCAACCAACTAAAATTCTTGCCAAAAAAAAACCCTGGTAAATGAAAAGCATCTATTTAACTTTTGAAATTAAAATGTTCTTTGTTTTTCACTTTTACAGTTCTCATTAAACATCTGTTTAACAGATTGTTGTATGGTAAGATTGGTGTGTAATAAGAATTTATTCTTATTCCTGCCGAGATGGTTCAGTGGTTAAGCACTGGCTGTCCTTCAAGAAGATCCAGGTTCTATTCCTAGCATCTACATGGTAGCTGTCAACTGTCTGTAACTAGTTTCAGAGAATCCAACACCCTCTTCTGGGTGACATACATGCAGATAAAACAAGCATACATATAAAATAAAAATATATACACACCCTAATTTGAAAAACAAATTGTTCTTAGAAAGTGTGTATATTTGCCATTCTTAATGTTTAAGCCTTTAGGGGCTGGAGAGCTGGCTCAGCAGTTGGAGTGCTTGCTGCTCTTGGGTTTTCAGGATGCTTCTCAGTAGCCTCACAGCTACGGTAAATCCAGCTCCAGGACATCCAGGAGACTCGATACCCTCTTCTGCCCTCCATAGGCACTTGTGCTTATGTGTGTTTATATGCACATACATACACACACGAAGAAGAAAAAAATTTTAAAACTTTTCTACAAAAAAATTACTCTTTTTATTTGTATATAGTTAAGATTAACCGTTGCTACCTTTAAGTCTTCAGGTTTTGAAATTGGTCTTAATTTTCAAAAAATAACCCAGTAGTTTGAGGAAGCAGTGTTCAACAGGAGGAAAAAGAAGGTCCTCAATGCCTGATAAAGTTCTCAGAGTTGGGAGCATATAACTTGGAAACCAGCATGAAAACTTGAGAAATGCTACACAGTTAGTGTTCTTATAAGTTGCTACAGTCACATGACAAGGTTTGACTCTCGGTGTTTAGTTTCATTGAATGCGTTTGTGGCATGAACATGAGCTGATTTCCTACAATTGAGGCTTCCTTTCTTCCCAAGAGTGTATTGTTTTTACAGCCCATTATCATAACGTAGCAGCTGTGCCAACAGGCTTAATGAACTTAGAATAGACAAACAAGATGACCAGCATTTTACAGGTCAAAGATTTTCCTCAGCTGTGGTCTGAAGGTGCACTTTCAGACACCTGCTAACTTGATGTCTTTACAACCCAAAATAAGCTGTGTCTTTACATTTAAATATCAGAGGGCTTTTTGTTGGGAGATCCAGGATAGTCTCCTTAGGAACTCTGAAGTGATCCTTGTGGAATAGGTGTAGTTCATTTGTGAACTACACAACTATGTGAACTATTGGCTGGATTTGTTGAGTGTGTATGTCATGTATTGCAGTCACATGAAATACGTTCCCTTATGTCCTCCCCTGCAGGAAGATACGTTTCAGCAGTATGTGAGACCAGAGGTTAATGCTCAGCTTTCAGATTTCTGCGTTGGTCTTACTGGAATTACTCAGGTGATATATTCTGTTTTAATTTCTGTTGGTTTTGGTTATTTTGAATTTGAAAATTTTAAATGAGTGGTTTCCTTTGTAGATAGTTTAAAAAATATAGTTATAAACAAATTAATGTGCTGCTTTCCCTATTTTGTAAGAGTCTTTCATGCTGTAATTAAAATAACAACACGAAAAGAGATGGTTCAGTGGTTAAGAGCACTGGATGTTCTTCCAGAGAATGTGTGGGTTTGATTCCCAGCAACCCTATGGCTCACAATCCAGACCCAGGATCCAGTGCCCTTTTCTGGCCTCCATAGGCACTAAACATGCACGTAGTACACATTAAAGGAAAATGTTCATATATACAAATTTTTAAAAGAACTTTAAAAAAACAGTAAATTATGTTACAGTGATATAATAATGATAAAGAAAATGTTTTAACACGAAGCCTTAGAGCTTGTCCAGTGGTAAATGCCATAGTCTCACATGCTAAGGGGTAGGGAGTGTAGTTCTGAGGTTAGAGGTTCTCTTGAGCACAGATATTTGAGACCAGCCTGGGCAACACTGGCAGACTCACCTCAGAATCAAAAGTTAAAGCCAAAGAGAGCTCTCCACTTACCCACCCCTCAGAGTTGTGAGGATGCTGTCAGGATTTCTGTTGTAAAGGGAGCATTAGTAACGGAAATGTCACTGTGCTGTACGCAGATAGGTTTTAGAACGGGTCTGTTAGTCTTGACTACACACCGTTGGTGGTCAATCTCGGGGTCTTATTTAAGTTTTAATGTGTGGGCTTTGGTGAGTTCTTTGGTTCTGTCATTAGTTTGTTCACTGTCTCCCACCATATTATATGTCAAGTCTCACCAGTTTCTGCTTCAGTTGCCTGTGAGTCAGGATTGGACAGAATAAACCAGTGGTCACAGTTTGGGTAGGAAGAATGAAAGTTAGTATTTTGTGAGGTTGTGAAGGCATCTATACAGAGGGCTTACATCTGTTAGAAGGTAGGGCTGCCCTTAGAAGTGTCTTTATGTTAGTGAACTTGGGGTGGTCATAAAAAGTAAATGGGCAGAAAGGAAGGCTTGGGCATTTTAGGTGTGTTGAGACAGAGCTCGTGTAGTTCAGGATGGCGCAAATCTCTGGGCTCTTGAGAAGGTGTTTGAGCTGGGCAGAGGCAGGCAAGTCATAAAGAGTGCTGTGATCCTGGAAGCAAGTAAGAGACCTGCAGTATATCACACACTGCCCTTGTGGCAGTGTGGTACACTGTGCCACACATACTGTAGCATAGCGTAGTGTGGAGAAGGTGAGATTTGACATGGAGAATTCATAGGGGCTGTAGGTTAGATGGGATATTTACCCATTGTCTAAGGAATCAGTCACTAGGGTTGATCTTTGTTCTAGTTTGCTTTCTATAGCTGTAATAAATACCACAGCCAAAAGCAACTTGGGAGGAAAAGGTTTTCAGTCCATCATTGACAGAATTGAGGGAAGAGATGGAAGCAGTCACTGGAGAGATTGTTACTGCCTCACTTAGCGAGCATGTTTTCTGGCTCCAGCTCAGCAGGCGTTCTTACTCAGCAGACCTCTAGCCTCCTGCTTCAGTAATGCAGATGCTTCCCACAGGCCGCTCTGATCCAGACAGTTCTTCCTTGAGGTTCACTCTTCCCAGGTAACTCTAGGTCACCTGTGTGAAGTTGACAGAACCAGGACAATCTTAAATCTTAAATTTTGGGAGAATTGTACACTCAGTTGAAAGCAGTCCCTAATTCTTGGGTATAAAATGATTTCTTCTAACTGTCTCAGGTGAACGTTTAGGCAGTAAGTAGGTCTAAGTCATGGAAATCACAGAACATTTAGCGGTTCACATACTGTTTACTTCTTTACAGTTTATGTGTGTGTGTATTAGAGGCTACAAGCAGTAGCTATGCCAACCTCTCTCTCCTTTTGTATCTTCAGGATCAGGTAGACAGAGCCGATGCTTTCCCTCAGGTCCTGAAAAAAGTAATTGAGTGGATGAAGTCAAAGGAGTTGGGAACTAAGTACAAATACTGCATATTAACAGATGGGTAAGCAGGAAACTATTTCTAAGTCCCTTTTAACAAAAAGAGGCTCTTAATTCATTTAACTCCTACAATGTCCATGGAGTGTTACTTATTACAAAGTCCCCAGGAGTCACTCTACAGAAAGAGTGTTTGTCCGTCTCATATCCTTTCCCTAGTTTGGTTTTGGTTTTGTTTTTGTTTTGTTTTTCAAGGCAGGGTTTCTCTGTGTAGTCCTAGCTGTCCTAGAACTCCCTCTGTACATCAGGCTGGCCTTGAACTCAGAAATCCGCCTGCCTCTGCCTCCCAAGTGCTGGGATTAAAGGCGTGCACCACCACTGCCCGGCTTCCTTTCCCTAGTTAAAGTTGAATTCTCAGGATGAAGGAAAGGAGGGAAAACCACCACCAACACATCAAGACTTTAACAAGAGCCCAGGATGCGTACCCACGTACTGCTGAGACAGCTCATCTGTGTCCCTGTGTCCATCCTGACGTTCGCTTGTTCACAGCCTACAGCTTGGTGTCCTCCACCACACACACACACACACACACACACACACACACACACACGTTCTTCAGGCTGCCCACTCACTGAGGGTTTGCCCGGTCTGTGCCCAGTTCGTGTTTTCCTCCTTCTGGGAGTGTCTCTTTTTTATCACCTTTTCCTTCGGTTTTACCCCGGCACTGCTCCTTCCACATCTTACAGCCATTAGGACGTCTGCTGTGCTGACTCTCTGATGTGTGCTCTTTTTTATAGGATGTTGGAAGTCCTTTCAGAGCATGTCCTTTTATTACCCCATAGTCTTCCAAGTCTAGAGTTATCTGTTAAATGAAAAGATAAATGAGACCTGGGTGTTGGGGTGCTCGTCTGTAATCCTCTACTTGGGAGTGGTAGGCAGGAGGATCCAGGATTCAAGGTCAGCCCACATCATGAATTTGAGGCAAGCCTAGGCTGTAATTTGAGACCCTATCTCAAAACTACTTGTGTCTCCTCCCTGGGGGGGGGGGGGACGGGACAGAAAAATGAAAGTCTACATAGGAAAATCTGAAGAGTTGAAAGAAGGATTATAGACCTTGTAGCAGGTCACTGGACTGCAGCACCACTAAAGGTAAAGGAAAAGGGCATGGACAGCTTCTGTTCTGGTTTCTGTTATGCCATGGTGGTGTGCTCCCATGTTAGGGCGCTGCTCACACAGGGTTAGAGGTCTGCACATGCGACAGGAGGTGCATGTGACACTTACGACGTTATTGTTGCTTTTAGAACCTTCTTTTGCTAAAAAGTGGATCAATATTCGAAAGTCATACGGAAACTTTTGTAAGGTAAAAATTCCTTACAAATCTGGACGTCAGCAGGGCTCTTTAGAAATCTTCCTGGTTTTAAACATAAGCAGTGTGCTGCTAACATTGACCGTTGTTTCTGTCATATTACAAAGCGGAGGCAATTTTTTAAAATCTTTAATTCTGGGGTGGATCATTCAAAATTGGTATGATGTTTTGTTTTGTTTTTGTTCTTAGCAAAATATTTTAGCAAAAATAGTGGTTGATGCCTCCAGAAGTAATTTAGGCAGCTCAGGTTATCTGCTCAGAGTGTGATGATCAGTTTCTGTTCAGGCTGTTTAAAGTACACAGAAGCAGTAGGAGCCTAGGGCATTTTTTAGTTTTTTTTTTTATGTATTTATTTATTTAAGTCGATAGGTAGATAGATACAGATACTTGATTTTATAGTAACTTAGTTAAGGGATTGTAAAATTTTCCGCTGAAGGTTTCAAGTTCTACTGTTTTGACTTTGCCCAAGTAAGGCTACATTTGAGTGAGCTCAGCTTCCACATGGTAAGCTCAATCAGGTTGGCCTTCGTTTGGAGACAGAGTCTCACTATGTAACATGGCTCTGACTGGTCTGTGTGCTGCAGCGTTCGAAGTGCTAGGAGTAAGGAGTGTAGTGCAGATTGTAGCACTGACGTTAACCAGTACACAGTAGAGAAATAGCAGGTCAGGTGGTCTTTTAAGCCTTAAAATTTACCTTTGAGTTAGTAAAGAACTTAACTAAAATGATAAATTTGTTATAACATGTAAACCTGCCAGTTACACAGAAGAACTCAGAAACGTGGAAGTTTGGCCAAGAGTCAGAACCACAAAAGCTATCAAGATGAGCTTAGTAAGAATAGTTTATGAGCCGGGCGGTGGTGGCGCACGCCTTTAATCCCAGCACTTGGGAGGCAGAGGCAGGCGGATTTCTGAGTTTGAGGCCAGCCTGGTCTACAGAGTGAGTTCCAGGACAGCCAGGGCTACACAGAGAAACCCTGTCTCAAAAAAACAAAACAAACAAAAAAAAAAAGAATAGTTTATGAAGAACATACTGCATTTTTTTCCCTTTTTAAAGCTTAAAAGTATTTTCTAGGAAACAAGGTTACTTTTCTAAGCTTGGTATTTTCTGTGAAAAAGTTATGTAAGTAAGCACAAATAGTCTTTGTAGTAATAGTACAGCATTTACTTTATATATTTTTTCCTCTTTTTATAAGTTCCTGGGATATGAGTAAGTTCTTAAACATCCAGTGCCAACTCAGCAGACTCAAGTACCCTTCTTTTGCTAAAAAGTGGATCAATATTCGAAAGTCATACGGAAACTTTTATAAGGTAAAAATTCCTTTTTTATTAGTTATATTCTTAACCATGTTCCTCTATTTTACATATATATACAGCTATCATTTTGTATTGGTATTAAGTTTTTATGTTTTTAAATTTTATGTGTACAAGTGTTTTACCTGCTTGTATGTATATGAACTGTAAGCATACCTGCTGCCCATGATAGAGAAGATGGCGTCAGGTCTTGTGGAGCTTGACTTAGACATGGTTGGGAACCACTATATGGGTCCTGGGAACCCCACCTGGGTGCTCTGCAAAGCATCATTTGACATTACTGACTTTCCCAAGAAGCCAGAAGTGTCCACTTCAATCCCCCAACTCTATGGAAAGTTGAGCACTGCTAATAAAGTCTAATTTTATCATTTTTTAAATCAGAATTTTCATTTTTAATTTTAAAAAAATCATAACTATATTCTGGTCATAGTTTTCCCCTTTCTCAGCTCTTCCTGATCTTCCCCACCCAACCAACTCTGTGTCCTTACTCTTTATAATATGTGAGCATATGCACACACACACTCACAAAAATGGAAACCAAAGTATACAAGCAAATGACCAATAAGGCCAAAAAAATACCCCAAAGCAAAATGAGACAAAAGGTACAGAAATACCATTTGAACTTTTTTGTGTTGGCCTGCTGTTACAGCCTTTGTGTTCACATGTGTCTCAGTCCTTGTGTCTGAGACACCATTTCCTTGGAATCACCTATCACTTCTTCCTCTCTTCTGCATAGATCTCTGAACCCCTCGGGCAGAGGGGGGTGGGCTGGAGACATGCCATTTAGGACTGAATGCTCCAAGTCTCACTCTGCAGATTGTGTAGTTGTGTGTCTATTAGTCCCATCTGCTGTAAGAGGCTTCTCTGATGACGGCTGATCAAGAAGGAAAAGCAGTGATAGTATTCCTCTTTCCTGGGTGTTGCCTTTGTTCTTACGAGAATCCAGCAGCCTGACTTTCCTTCCCAGACCACTGAAAATGGATTCAGTCTTAGCTTGCCTCCCTGTTCCACTTGGTGGGCACACCTTCTCAGTGCCCCCCATCTGTAATCCATTCCTCATTGGCCAATACCTCAGTTAGGACTGGAAGCTCAACATTCTGCTCTCTAGCCACGGGCACACCACCCACACCTATGCACTGTGTCTGTGAAATGTGTTCTTTTCTCCTCTGATTATAATCACGGGAGATTATAGTTAGCTGGGTGTGGTAGTCTGCGCTGCTGCCTATGCTCTTTCAGTGCTTGTACATCAGTCCAAGCGCTCTGGCTTTTAGTCTCCATTAAGAAGTCAGATGTTATGCTAGTGGTCTGTCTTTATATGTGACTTGGTCTTTTTCCCCTATGGCTTTTAATATCCTTTGTTTTATTTAAGTGTTCTGATTATTGAAGTGCTATGGTAGTTTTTTTTTTTTTTTTCTGGTGCTGTGTATTTGGTGTTCTGAATGCACCTTGAACCTTGCTGGGCATCTCTTTAGAATTAGGAAGTTTTCTTTTATGACTTTGTTAAAAATATTTTCTGTGCCTTTGACCTAGGTTTCTTCTCCTTTCTTTGTACCCATTATTTGTAGGTTTGGTCTTTTCATGGTCTCCCATCCCAGATTTCCTGGATGTTTTGAGTCTGGGGTTTTTGGTTTTTCTTTTTCTAAAATTTACTATTTTTCTTTAATCTTTTTTTCTATTATGTCTTTGTGACCTGAAAGTTTCTCTACCATTTCATTTTTATTTTGATGTACTGAGCTTTTCTTTTAAAATAATTTATCCCCTTTGATCTTTTAGAGCCAGGCTCACAGGAACTCACTATATGTGGACCAGGCTGACCTCAAACTCACAGAGACAGATCTGCCTGCCTCTGCCTTCAGAGTGCTGGGATTAAAGATGTTCCACACCTGGCAGTTTTCTTTAGTGATTCTATTTCTCTTTTAGATTCTCTTTTCATATCTTCAATTGCTTTTATTATTTCATTCAGCTGTTGGTGTTCTCCTGGTCTTTGTGCAGGCATTTATTCATATCCTTGTTAAAGTCCTTGAACATATCCATAATTACTACCTTGAAGTTTTTGTGTTGTGCCTTAGCTAAATTGCTTTTCTTATGTTTCAACTGAAGTGCTCTGTGTTCCTAATTACTTGCTTGGTTCTTTATTTTCCAGGTTCCCAGAAGCCAGACCAAACTAACAATAATGCTTGAGAAATTAGGAATGGATTACGATGGGCGGCCTCACAGCGGCCTTGATGACTCGAAGAACATTGCTAGAATAGCAGTTCGGATGCTTCAGGATGGATGCGAACTTCGAATCAATGAAAAAATACTTGGGGGACAGCTGATGAGTGTGTCCTCGTCCTTACCAATAGAGGGCGCTCCAGCTCCACAAATGCCACATAGTAGAAAGTAGCTGCATTTTTGTCTGATCATTTGCTACGAAGGTAGCAGGTGAATGAATCTAAGCTAATGCAACCTTCAAGCACCTTAAACACTTACGATCTTACTACAGTTACAGATGGGGATGTATGCAGACATTTTGTGGGAGGACACCAAATTCTCTGTCACCAGCACTTTTGATACAAGCAGTATTTATTACCCACAGTAACCAGTCCCTGCTTAGAACTGAATTTTATAATATAAGGTGTCCAAGATGTGTTCCTTTGCTTTTAAGATGGAAGTTTTATTGGTTCATTCTTTGAACGTCATGTCTTATTGATACTGAAATTTAAAATGAATTTCTACATTACCACCATTAAATTAAATACATTTTTTGAAAGTGTGAAAAGGATTGAAAGGCACTATTCGCCCATTGAATTTTAAGTAAAACATGGTCCTTTTAATTTAGTAACTTTGTAGGTGACGTTAAGGGGTTATCAGTGAGGGGTTTCTTCCAGGAATGGTGTGTATAGGGTGCCAGATTCTACAGGTGTTCAACTTCTGTACTTTAAATGGCATAATGTTTATATATAGCCTACATATATTCTCCCATATATTTTAATGATCTCTAGATAGCTTATACTTAATAAACTTTAATCTTTTAGAGAATAATAACAAGAAAAAAGTCTGCAAGTTGATGTAGACACAACTATAGTGGGCCTTGCTACATAGCACATGAGTAAGTTGCTCAGCCAGCACAAGCTGGACAGAAACCAAGATCTGAGACAGAGGCAACAGCAGCTGTCCCCCTGTGTCACTTCACTCTGGTCCACTCAGCAAAGTGTTTGCTGAGCAGCAAATTCAGGTGTATCTTTTTTAAACATTTTCTGCACATCTGCATATATTCCTATATTCAAGCCAGGTAGTTGTTTCTAAAGGTGCCTACCTTGACAGCCTGAGTTTGAGCCTCAGAACATACATGATAGACAGAGAGAATCAACCGAAGGATGTCCCCTGACCCTCAACATGCACACCGTTGGAATTGCACCCACATATACACACGTGTCTCCAAAACAAGTAAGCAAAATGTAATAAATTACTGGGACCTGTTTCATCTCATACCTGGAAACCATGTAATAGGTCATAGGATTTAGTTAAAAATCTAGTTACTGGAGGCTGGGAGTTGGCTCAGTGGTTAAGAGCACTTGCTGCTCCTTTAGAAAACCCAGCTTCAATTCCCAGAACCCACACGGTGGCTCACAGCCCAAGTTTCAGAGAATCCAACAGGCAAAACATTCATAAACATAAAATGACTAAATTTCAATTACTGGGCTGAAGAGATGGCTCAGAGGTTAAGAGTGCTGGCTGCTCTTTCAGAGGTCCTGAGTTAATTCCCAGCATAAGTAAATCTGAGGCCACCCTGGGCCTTATAATGAGATCCTGACTCCAAAAAGTACTAGCAGAAAACATAAGGGGAATCGTGAGAGCTCTAACTACAAATCAGTGGGAGTTACTGAAGATTCGCTCATTGGCTTCCCTCTCCTTTGTGAGTGTGTATTTGCCCTGCTTTGAGATTGACTTACAGCTCATGGTAGACATTTGTATTCAGTACTGTGAGGTGAAATGTTTTGTGCCATAGTTAGTAAGGTACCTGGCTTGTCTTAGCGAGTGACCAGTATATATTGGAAAATCATTCCTATTTCTAAAATCAAAATGTGCTCTGGAGATGATGATGTAAAACTGTCTAAAGGCTGAAAGTGTGGACTTTTGCAATTAAACCCTCTCACGCTCTTCATGGACCGATTTCGTTGACATTGCCTTTTACTGTTTATTTTGTTTTTTAACCTTTCCTTAGTAATTGTGATACTATTTCTGTGATCAATATAATCAAGTAGATTCATCATATTTTCTAACTCAGGGCATAGGAGAAAGGACAGAGATGTGCTTGCCGGCATGAGGATTTGCTACCCAGGCTTGCAGGTTTCATTAGCTAGTGAGCATCTGTCTTGAAGCAAAGGGATGGGAGTAGTGCATCACTGTGAGGGGCAGATGCCAGCCGGTGCTAGGCTTTCTTCATCTTCCCACTTAAGCCATGTTGACATGAGGGCAGGTTCGTGCCCTAGAAAAATAAGCGCTTGTCGCCTGATGACACAGTTGCTACTGAATAGGGAAACTACCATTGGAAAGTTAGAGAATAGCAGGAAATACTAATGCCTTCCTCTTTTTTTTTTTTTTTTCCTAATCAAGTGCTTAACCTTTTTGGGGGAGGGCGGGGTGGCGGTAACAATTTCAGCAGCGGGAGCTTTTAGAATGCTTTTGGCTCCACTAAGCACTTTGTCAGCTTTACTCACTCTGAGTCTCTGTCAAACCTCTCTGGTTTGTTTTGGGTTTCTGCTGAGATAACCTGTCTATAAGTTATAGATCATAATTCTTGAAAGGGAAATGCTGCAGACTGACTGCATTGTGTAGAAAGATAATTGTTTCTTGTTGCTGCTATAATGTGTTACAGGGACACTAGTGTTTGTTAATAGTTACTTAAAGCTCTGTTTACTCAGTAGCCATGGTCATTTCCTTGTTTTCCTGTTACTTGCTTGGACATTGAGGGTTTTTTCCACCCCGTATTTTCAAGTCCACACAGACTGGTATATATTCTCAGCTATATTTTGTCTGATTTCTGTATTAAATACTGACATTGACTTTGAAAATATTTCTTTCTCTCCACTTCTCCCTCCTTTGACTGCATCAAGCGAAAGAAGGAAGAGAAGTTTTTATTTTTTATTTTCAACATTTGTTTTTGTGTATATATGCCTGGGAGAGTTTATGTGTACCATGTGCCCTTAGATTCCTGTGGAGGCCTGAGGGTGTCAGATGCTTTAAAACTGGAGTTACAGGTTGTTGTGAACACCTAATGTGAGTGCTGGGAACCCGAGTCCATGCCTCTGCAAGAGCAGTCAGCACTTAACCTTGGGGCCATCTCTCCAGCCTCAAAGAAATTTTTTTCTGATTTTTTTTCTTTTTCTCCCCCCACCCCCTGTCTTTTTCTTTGCCCTTTTCTTTTAGCCTTTAGAGACCGGCTTGTCCTGCTCTAGGGATAGGTTCTCTCAGCTGGGTTAGCATGAAAGACCATGGGAGTCATGCTAACTAACATGTACTTAGCAAGGAATACTGTTGCTGGAGTCATTTATTTAAATGGTAATTTCTTGAAAGGTGAAAGAACATTTAGTTCATCTTCCTGGATATTACAAGTATTATTGTGAAGGATGATTGGGAGAGGAAGAGAGGGTGGGTAGTAAGATTTCTGGGGAAGGAGGGATCACAAGTGGTCAATACAAGAAGGAGTACCAGACAAGTCACCCACCTCAGAAGTTAGCTGGCCCTTTGTGAAGTCTCAGGGGTGTGTCCTGTTTCAAGGAAGACTTTCTGAGCTACTGAACGGAAGCTGACTTCCTTGGTGATGAGCTGTGGACTCCTTCTGTATTCCAGCAGGGCCTGTAGAGATGCTTTCCATGTGTAATTGGTTCCAGTGTTGGCAAATGAGTGGTCCCATGAAGTATCTTCTTGTCCTTAGTGCTGACTCACATTTCAGCTCTTCCTGCCCCAACACAGCATCAAGCTCACGCCAGAGCAGGGCAGCCGCACACTGTAACCACAAACCAAATCTGATGGCCAAGTGACAAGTCAGAATCAAGAGTGCTTTTGTGTGTGTGTGTGTTTGACAGAGTATATCTGTGTAGTCTAAACTGGTTCCAAATTCTTCAGTACTGGAATTACTGAAGTACAGGTAAGTGTTACCTACCGTGCCTGCGATATGAACTATAGCATGGGAATTTTATGAAATCAAATCTCAGTGTTACAAATAAAGCTTTGTGGAATAGCTCCCATTCGCAATTATTTGCCTGCGTTCTGTATTTGTCCTACAGCAGCAGAGGTGAATGTTCACTCTAGAAACCTTGCCTGCGATCTGCCTAGCCCTCTATAGAAAGTTGTTGACCTCTTCCTGATTAAAAGCATCATTAAACTCCATGGATTTAAAAAAACAAAAAAAACCTAATAGTATGAGGACCCTAGATCAGAATGCTCCGGTACAGTAATAGTTACATCGAGGGCTGTTGGAGTAGTTTCACTGAAAATGTAACAAGCTCAGAGTCATTGGAGAAACAAATAAGTGGGTGAGGAAAAGGATTTTCATTTTAAAAACGGGACCCCAGTGTTCTTGGGAGGAATGTTAGTACCATGTGTTTACTAAGACAGGCTAAAAGGCTTGAAACTGGGGGTAGGGTGCTGTCATCCCTGTGGATACCTAATTGCCATGAGTCCACAGCCTGCTGCCACAGTGCCCTGGAGCCTCCACTCTTCTTATACTTGAAGTCGTCTCTGGATACTTCACCTTATAAACACCCAGGTAAATGCTGTGGGAAAAGCTAGATGCGATATTGTTGGGGGAAGATGTCTGCTTATGTTCTGTACAAATACATTTCTTTTTTAAAGATTCTTTTGGAGTGCCCTCAGATGCCAGAAGGACTTAGAATCACTGGAACTAGAGTTACAGATAAGCTGCTGTATTTTTATTTATTTAATTTATTTTTTAAAAGATTTATTTATCTATTATATATGAATACACTGTATCTGTCTTCAGACACACCGGAAGAGGGCATCAGATCCCATTACAGATGGTTGTGAGCCACCATGTGGTTACTGGGATTTGAACTCAGGACCTCTGGAAGTGCAGTCAGTGCTCTTAACCTCTGAGCCATCTCTCCAGCCCAGCCGTTAATTTATTTTTTTAAATTTATTTATTTATTGGTTATTTTATTTATTTACATGTCAACTGTTATTCCCCTTCCCAGTTTCCCCCTCTGCAAACCCCTCACCCTATTCCCCTCCCCCTGCTTCTATGAGGATGCTCACCTACCCACTCCTGCCTCACCACCCTAGCATTCCCCTACACTGGGGCATTGAGCCTCCACAGAACCAAGGGCCTCCCCTCCCATTGATGCCAGATGTCAAACTGGAGCCATGCGCCCCTCCATGTGTACCCTTTGGTTGGTAGTTTAGTCCCTGGGAGCTCTGGGAGGGTCTGGTTGGTTGATTATTTTGTTCTTTCTATGGGGTTGCAAGCTCCTTCAGCTCCTTCAGTCCTCCCCGTAACTCCTCCATTGGGGTCTCCATGCTCAGTCCAATAGTTGGCTGTGAGTATCAGTATCTGTATTGTCAGAACCTCTTGGGACAGCCATACCAGGCTGCTGTTAGCAGGTGCTTCTTGGCATCAGCAATAGTGTTTGGGTTTGGTGTCTGCAGATGGGTTGGATCCCTAGGTGGGGCAGTCTCTGGATGGCCTTTCCTTCCATCTCTGCTCCACTCTTTGTCTCTCATGCAATATGATTAATAATAATTTCAATACAAGTTCTTTCCTGATTGATCACGAGAACAAGATATATATATAAGCTTGCTATGCAGTGTTGCTTGCTGTCCAGAGCTGGGGGCTTTTCTTGCTTGTTTCATCACTACTCCTTTGAACTTAGGTTTGTTTCCTTCATTGATTTATCTTTGATAGTGAGGCCACTTTACTTTAGTCCTGAAATACTATCAGGACTTGTGGTCTTTCTCCTGCTCTAGTATACATCCTTAGCAGAGCACGTTCTCAACCTTCACTAAGTTTAATTGGCCTTTGTCTTACTGTGTTAGTCCCTTTTCTGATGTTGACAGTGTACCACACTGGGCCTTCATAAAGAACAGGTAGGTTTCTCCATGTTTTGAAGACTGGAAAGGCCAATGCCTTTGGTAAGGATCTTCTTGCCAACAATGATGTAGAGAAAATGGTGGCAAGAAAGTGTAACAGCACACTAGTTTCGGTCTCTCCACCCATAAAGCTACTAATTTCATCACAAGGGCCCACCCTTCTAACCTCAGGTTACCTCCCAAAAGGCTCTACCTCTCAATACCATCAACATAGGCATTTGTGGTGTTTCCAAGACATGAGCTATGGACTATTCAAACCAGTGCTGTGTTCTGGTTTGATTTCTCTGTTGCTGTAATAAATATCACTGCCAAAGTCAATGGGGAGGTGGGGGAGGTATTTCTCTTAGGCAGTGCAGGAACTCAAGCAGAGGCAGGGAGCTTGAGGAAAGCAGCTTCATGGTAGCATTGCCACAGTGGGCTGCACCCTCCCAATCAGTTACCAATCGAGGAGATGCCTCAGAGATGCCCACAGGCCAGTCTATCGAGACATTTTCCCCATTGATAATCCCTCATAACTGGGTAGTGGTAAGCTGACAGCTGAA